ATATATATGAAAAATTGATGTGGGTACTCAAATGCAAGGTCTCGATGAGCGTAATGACAGGGTGGGCTTATATCTTTAAAAATGTCAGTAGTTCACAAGATATTTGTGATATTTGTTAAGTTGCACTATACCTGCTTAACTATTGACGTTTTGTAAGATATAAGCTCATCCCGATGTTACACTCATCTAGAGCTTTCATTTGAGTACCCACATGCATTTTTGATATATTTTTCATATATTCATATATATAAATATATCAAATATATGAAAAATTGATGTGGGTACTCAAATGAAAGGTCTCGATGAGTGTAACATCGGGATGAGCTTATATCGTTGAAAATGTCAATAGTTGACAAAATACAATGTCATTTTTTAATTATTGACATTTTTCAAGATATAAACTCATTTTGATGTTACACTCATCAAGACCTTTCACTTGAGTACCCACATGGCATTTTTTATATATTTTATATATATGGTATTTGTGAAATATATATAAATATATAAAATATATGAAAAAATGCATGTGGGTACTCAAATGAAAGGTCTTGATGAGTGTAACATCGGGATGAGCTTATATCTTTAAAAATGTCAATAGTTCACAAGATACAAGGTCATTTCTTCATTTTGTATCTAGAAAAAGAGCATTTTTGAATGCAGCCTAAATACTTTTCATCATATATTGATTATCGGTAAGAATGATATGAAACCTTGAAAAGGCTTAACTCCAGGTCAAGACTTTTTCAATGACACCAAATTTAACCATAGAAACCCATTTTATTGTATAAATACACTGGCCACAAAATTTAGCTTATTCTCTTAATAATATAGATTATTATTATTATTAATTTAAAATTTCAATTTAATGTTTCAGAACGAATACCCAAGAGAGCAGTTTTAGGAGTCTTAATGTTTTTAGCATGCATGTTTTCATATGTCATTCGTACAAATTTATCCATTGTAATTGTTGCGATGGTAAATGCAACAGCTAAAAAAGGCCGGAAAGGTCCATTCTGTAGTGATTTACTGTCTAATTCAACAAAAACAGTTATACCTGATGTAAGTATGATCTTAAAAATATAAATTTCTTCATTATATTTAAATTAAAACTAAAGTAATTAAATACTAGACCTATAATTATAATTTTTAAACTAACTTCTAGATTGATGAAAGATATACTTGGAGTCAACAAGTTCAAGGAGCGATTTTATCATCATATTTTGTCGGTCCTTTGTTATCAAGTGTTCCGTCAGGAATGTTAGCTGAAAAATTCGGAGGTGCTCGAGTTGCTGGGTAAGAAATCAACGTAGTTTACAATAAAATAGTATAATGTTTATCAAGTCTGTCTATGTAATTAAGGTAAAAAATCCAGTTATTGACACTGGCCTAGTTGTTCGACATTTGCAATTTTATTCGAATTAAAATAATAAAATCTTCTCAAAAAAACAATTATCTTAAAATTTATAATTCAAAAATTTTATTTATTAATTTATTAGAGCTGATTTGTTTTTTTTTTAATTAAAATAAAATCGCAAGTGTCAATAACTGGATCTTTAACCTTACTTAGTTATATTAAATTTTTAATAATCTTTTAATGTAAAAAATGAATATTCATTGTATTAATAATTATAGATACGCTACTTTGATACCAGCATTGTTGAATCTTTTGATGCCGGTAGCTGCTAAGTGGCATTATTCTGTGGTTATTATATTACGTTTTTTGATGGGTTTCTCTGGGGTAAGTTGACATAAATATTAAAATACACAAACTGTACTAATTAACAAAAATTATTATTTTTTAATAATTACTGTTATTGATTATTTGTCTTTAGTCAGCAGTATACCCAGCTTTACATGCAATGATAGCGCGGTGGGCTCCTCCAACTGAAAAAGGAATGTTCGTTTGGACCATGCAAGGTATTTACTAAATCAATTTATTATTATTATTAATTTCAATTGAATGCATTTCACTGGGAATAAATAATTAACTCTAAATCCCGATGTTACACTCGTCGAGAGCTTTCATTTGAGTACCCATATGCATTTTGATAAATTTTTCATATATATATATATATATATATATATATATATATATATATATATATA